CAGTCAAAACTAATTTTGTAATCATGCATTCCAAAATTTAAACAACCAATTTACAATCATGTATTAAAAACAACTAATTATACAAAATACCAAACAATTAAATTTCATGGTCAAACTTTTAATTTACTCAAATTTTCAGTTAGACCAAAATTTAAACAACTAATTTTATAATCAATGGATTAAAAGACAGCTTACACAAAGTACCAAACAATTAAATTACATCTTCTGGGTCAAATTTTTAGTTAGACCTAAAACGTTATTACGAAACTAGTCGGTTATCAACTATAATTAGAATGGGAACGTGTGATGTCCATTGGTATTTTTCAAGATGTACAAACAGTTTAATTTTAACATTTACTGCTATTAACGAAAAGAGGGAATGAAATGGGGAGAGCCAAATAAAATGGTCATTTTGAATCTGGAAAATTGAGATAAACTTGGTCCCTTATTGGACCGGCTGATCTTATATGATAATATAATGAATTTGCAAAAGAAATAAAATAAAATAAAATAAAGTAAAAAAATAAAAAAAAATACAATATTCATTTCTTAGTATCTATAGATAATAAACTGACAAAGAGATTTGTGGGAAAACTTGTTATTTCATCAATGATTAGAGAGGGCTTTATATAGCAACCAGTTACAAGACCTAATCACAATATAAGGAAATTCCCTAATTACAGTCTATCAAATATTCACAGAATATTCTACAAGATATATACAAATATTATGATAACACCCCCCCTCAAGTTGGAGCATGCGGGTTCCGAATGCCCAACTTGCCAATAAAGAAATCAAACTCGCGCTTGCCCAAGGCCTTAGTGAAAATATCTGCGAGTTGAGAATGAGTAGAAACATGCGAAGTAGAAATCAGGCCTTGGATGAGAGCATCACGAAGAAAGTGACAGTCGACTTCAATGTGTTTGGTGCGCTCATGGAAGACAGGATTAGCGGCAATGTGGAGAGCCGCCTGACTGTCGCAGTGAATTCTCATCGGCTGAGAGTGCACCACACCAAGACTACGTAACAACCCTTGTAACCATTTCAATTCACAAGTAAGTGTTGCCATAGCCCGATACTCAGCCTCGGCGGAAGAGCGTGCAACAATGTGCTGCTTCTTAGTTCGCCAAGATATCGGAGAGTGCCCAAGCTGCACGAACCAACCCGTGAGAGACCGGCGGGTGGTCGGGCACGTCGCCCAATCGGAGTCACACCAACCATAAATCTGAAGGTCAGAATCTGAGCGAAGGAGGATACCTTGGCCCGGAGTACCCTTCAAATAACGAACCACACGAACTGCAGCATCCCAGTGTGCTTGACGAGGCTGATGCATGAACTGGGAGAGCATATGCACAGCATAAGATAGGTCTGGACGAGTGACAGCTAAATAAATTAAGCGTCCTACCAGTCGCCGATACTTTTCAGGATCAGAGAACAAAGGTCCCTCGGCTAAGGGAAGCTGATGATTCTGCTCCATAGGAAAGTCAGCCGGTTTGCTACCAAGTAAGTCCGTCTCAGCAATAATATCAAGAGTATATTTCCGTTGACAAAGAAATATGCCAGAGGAATTCCGAGCGACCTCAATACCTAAGAAATACTTCAACATCCCCAAACCTTTCATATGGAAACAACGACCCAAGTATTTTTTGAAGGCAACAATAGCAGAAGGATCACTCCCAGAAACAATGAGATCATCAACATAAACGAGGACATGCAAACGAATAGAATTGCGATGAAAAACGAATAGAGAGTAATCAGAAAAGGACTGCTGAAAACCATACTGCTTTAGAGCAGCAGCAAGCTTTGCAAACCAACAACGAGGAGCTTGCTTCAGGCCATATAACGAGCGACGTAATCTACATACCTCACCAGTCCGAGGAGAGCGAAAGCCAGGAGGGAGTTTCATATAAACTTCCTCAGTCAAATCACCGTGCAAAAAGGCATTGTGAACATCCATCTGATGGACCTCCCATCTTTGAGCTGCCGCAACAGCAAGGAATGTACGGACCGTGACCATTTTAGCAACAGGAGCAAAAGTCTCCTGATAGTCAATCCCCTCCACCTGCTTGTTACCCAAAACAACCAAGCGCGCTTTATAGCGCTCAATAGATCCATCAGAATGATATTTAATTTTATAAATCCACTTACAACCAATCGCGTGCTTTCCGGCAGGAAGAGGGACAACATCCCAGGTATGATTATTCTCCAAAGCCTGAATTTCAAGTTGCATGGCAGAGCGCCATCGACTGTCTCGAACCGCCTCAGCGAACGTCTGCGGTTCAACAACAGAAGTCATGGCTGCCAAAAATGCCTTATGGCCAGGTGAGAAAGAGTCACAAGATAAATAATGTGCTATGGGATAAAGCGTACCTGAGGATGGTGACGAGGCAGGAGAAACAGTAGGGGGGGACGAGGGAAGGACGGTATGAGACACAAAATCAGTGAGCCGAGAGGAGCGACGTTTAACTCGACAACCGCGACCAAGAAACTCGTCGGGAGAGGTAGAACCCCCTTTATCATCGACACGACTAAGTGTCCCAGAGTCAAAAGAGGAAGGACGAGGCACAGTGTCATCAACCTCATCATCGGACACAACAGGCCAAGTGTTGGTAGAAGTGATCGGAGCGACTGGTGTGGCAGATTCTGAGAAGGGAAATTCAGTTTCACAGAATTCTATGTCACGAGAGACCAAAAAAGAACCATTATCCAAGTCATATACACACCATCCCTTTGTACCAACTGGATAACCGACAAACACGCATTTACGACTCCGACTGACAAATTTATCTCCTCGTGAAGCCTGATTATGTACATAACACAGACATCCAAACACTCGTAAATGGGCGAAATCAGGACTTCTGCCATACAACATTTCATAAGGCGTTTTTCCAGACAAAACAGAAGTAGGTGTACGATTAATTAAATATCCAGCCGCTAGCACACAATGTCCCCAAAATTCAAGTGGCAAATGAGCCTGAAAACGTAAAGCACGAGCAACATTGAGAATGTGCTGGTGTTTACGTTCAACTCGCCCATTTTGTTGAGGGGTTCCAGTGCAAGAAGTCTCATGAACAATACCTTCACGTCGAAAATAGTCACGCATGACGGTAAACTCAGTCTCATTATCACTACGAACAATTTTAACGACAGTGCTAAATTGCCTTTTCACCATAGCAAAGAAAGACATCAAAGTAGAGGAAACATCACTCTTATCATCCAACAAATAAATCCAAGTAGCACGAGAATAATCATCCACAATAGTTAAAAAATACCGTGCTCCACAAAACGCGGGAATACGATAAGGTCCCCACAAATCACAATGAATTAATGAAAAAATGTCACTAGCAATATTACGACTAATTGGAAAGCTAGCACGTGAATGTTTAGCCTTATAGCACACATCACATGATTTATTTGACGCCGTAACACCAGACTTAATAAACAGAAACTGCGTAAGAACAGAGAAAGAAGGATGACCCATCCGTTGATGCCATGACAAAGAGATTTGTGGGAAAACTTGTTATTTCATCAATGATTAGAGAGGGCTTTATATAGCCACCAGTTACAAGACCTAATCACAATATAAGGAAATTCCCTAATTACAGTCTATCAAATATTCACAGAATATTCTACAAGATATATACAGATATTATGATAACATAAACACCAATGGAAAACGATTTATTCTTGTATTCTTATCATTTACTTGTAGAAAACATACACGTATTTGTGTTTTATACTTTAGCTAGATTTCTACTTCATTTTTATCTATTTATTTTCTGACATGCCGCATTAGACAGTTTAAAATAGCCACCTTTTTTTTAATTATATCATAGAGCATGACATTTTAATATAAAATTATATATATTTGTTGAAAAAATATGATTGTT